TGTGGGACTCACTGGCTAGTAGCTGGGTTTTAAGGAGCCATGTGAGAACCAAATGATTGGGATTGTTTCTCTTGAAAAGGAGATGAGTAAGGCAGAAATGTAAATATCCATGAAAGCCTCACTCAACTAGGGAAGAGAGAACTTCTGTTTTTCCCAGCTTTTAGCATCAGGATAAGAGGCAATTTAAAAACAACAGATGAAACATTTTTGCAATGTTTCAGCAAGCTGTGGTATAATGCCATAAGAAGTCCTCAGGCTGAGAAGGTACCAAGTTCAAGGAGAGACTATTCACAAGGACAAGCAAATAAGCTACTTCTGATTAGTACTAAAACATTGTGATGCACTGTTAAGCATCAGGGCTGATGCCTACTTTTTAGGAGGTTTGGAAGCTGGGATTCATCCTTGAACAAGGGTAGGGAGAGGCCCTATCCCCACTCCAGTCCCTGCCTCCAGGGGAAGCCCTAGGGTCTCTGGCTGGATTCTGACTCCCTGTTCCAACCCAGAATGGCAATTACCGTGTCCTTATTCTCCATATCTCCAGGTAAGTAGTTCCAGTGATGTGTTATCACCACTGTTTGGAGAAGAATATTCTTAGGGGACAGCAGTGCCCTGGAAGTCCTTAAGTCTGGCTTTTGTGGCTGTAACTTCTGGGGACAGAGGGGTATAGGGAACAGATGTTCAGATCCTCACCCTTTCCTCCATCCATCTGCAACAGTGACAGGGAAGCAGGATGTGTTCAGTATTCTTTTCATCTCTTCAAGTGCATTATTTTCAGTGTGAGCCAAGGAGATCAAAAGAAGCACCTGGAATGGAAGGTGCTTATGTGTTTCATGATCCTAAACCCTGCCATTAGAAAAAAAGTAATGTAATTTTTTTAAAAAATTAAAAAGAGTAACAAATAATTATTTTTTTTTAAATTAAGGATTTTGTGACTTCATCTCCATGAATTGGGAAGTTAGCAAAAGTGCATCTAACTTACATCTCAAAAAAGACCCATACCATGCTCACAGCATTGGATCATATATGAACTCTGGCCATAGGGATATCCCAGGAGACCCACGTACCCCTGTGCCTCACTTGGTGTTCACTGAGCAACTGGCCTGGAGTGGATGGACATCTTGGGACACTTCAGGAATAAAGGAGCAGTTGTTTAAAGGCAGAAGATGAGGAATAAGATTAATCTTCACAAAATATATCAGGCAGTCATTCAATATAGAGAATCTGGGATGCTGCTGATGCTGACTGTTAGCTATGAGCTGCTGGCAGTGAGGAGGTAGTCTGGTGAGCTTCAGAAGAGGAGTGCTGGTTCAAAGATCCGAGTCACTCTTATCATTTTTTTTTTCTTGACTCTCATGAACCCTGTTAGTGCCTCCAGAACCATAAGACTGTCTGTCTCTAACTTTGGAGGTAAGTTAACAAGATCAATGATGTCCTGTTTTAGACCATTCTAAAACTTAGAGAGTTTTTTTGTCTTAATAAGTATGTATATTAGCATGACACAGACTTTGTTGTCACAAGTCAAATAAAACCATAGCCATAGGAACAATCAGTAATTTCCTGAGGAGGCTGTTTGAGATCACTCTGCCTGCAGAGAACCTCCATCTCCACATCTTTTCTTAGTGATTCAGTGGGGCTCACATCAATGGGGATTTTCTGTAAGGACAAGGTAAACTGACCAAGGAATTGGAGGGGTATGACATTTTCCAGACTGGTGTTTGAATAACATTTAGAAAAATTATATGAAAGTATAAAATTATGAGATCCAAGCTATTCATAAGGGTGCCCAGATGGTATTCTGTGATTGCTACGGAGAAGTCTCTTCTCCCAACAGAGAACATACTCCATCTGCCCCAGTGAGAGCTGTGCATGCCAGGCAAGGATGAAAGTGAATAGGCAGACCAGTAGCTACTGTCAGGATTGGGCACAATGTTGGGCTTTTTAATGGGGTGTAAGTAAACCTTTGAACAGGAAAATCAATTAATTTCAGGTTGGTGCAAGCACAGTCTAGACTAAGAAAATCAAAGCAAGTCAACATCATTTTGCCTCTGACCTGAAAAAGGAGAGGACTGGCTTTTAACAGTGTAAATGGATATTCGTAACAGCAATCTGAGCTTTGAAGTTCATTTCTATTTACAGGCACACAAGCAAGGCTTGTATGAGGGAACTGAGAGGTGAGCGTGATTGACTAACATGTGGGAAAGAAGAAAAGGTGTGATGTGGGGGTTTTAATAGACTGCTACTAATCTGGCAGTGAGCTTACATTCAGGTTTTTCAATCAAATAGTTCTCAACTGATTTCATAAGCAAGAAGGTAATTGTTGTCTATTTTTTGCTTAGTGGTCTTTTTGGTTAGGATGTGGGTTATAGCTGTGTCTTGGCTTCAAGCCTTTTTGATATCTTCATGAAAATGACACTTTTCCTATTTCTGTGCCTCAGTTCTGATATCTGTAAAATCACAGCAGTCTGAAATGCAGCATCAGTGTTTCCAAGCACAGGAGAGCAGTGAGTTCTTAACCCAGTTTCAGCCAAGAAACTAAAGAACAGAGCTCTCAAACTAGCTCAGAGCCAGATTCTTTGGTTTTATTTCCTCAGTTCTGAAATTTTTAAAAAATTTGCTCTTATGTGTTGATTGAGAATAGCACTTAAGCCACATGATCTCTTGGGCAAACGACCTTATGTATGGGAATATCATATGTCAATAAGGCTTTCAGGGCTGTCCTCTTGTTCGCTCAGCTCAGAGCATGGGTAATGCAACAGATCTGGGTGTCTACTTCCATCCTTCCAGACAATGCCATCTTCTCAAATCACTTTTCAGGCTAGGAAGGCAAATACCCTTTTCACATCACAATAACTCATCTCTTTGTCCATCTGCACATGTTATGTTGGTGCTCACATAGGTAATGGTATATGGCTCTCTACATTCTCACCACACCTCATGCCTTAGAAAGTGGACAGCTATAAGGAAAAACAGAATTGCTCTCTACAAATGTAAACAGCCTTTTTATGAGACTGGAACTGGTCAGAAATGTCCATCTTCATCAACTTGCCACCCACTAAAGATCTTCTCCTGTTCTCCATATACTAAAACACAAACTACTTCAGAGACCCACAAACCTTCTCATACTTTTTAAGTCTGCTTCTGGCATTGCCTTTCTCTGAGTAGCAGAATACATTCCACTTTTTTATTTGATCACTTTTGCTTTTTGACATAATTTTTTTCCTGACACACTTTACTTTGACAGTCCCTAATATAGCTATGCCTACTGAGACAAATTCCAGTAGCAGAAGTACTGATTGCTGGATTAACAGTTTCATATCCATGTTCCTGGGGGAAGAAATAGGAAAATTCATCATCCATCACATGCTACTATACTGGGAGAATGAATGCTATACCTGGAAAACATTTAGTTTCTGCTTTGCAATGAATTTAATGGATGCAAGACCACAGCTTGAGAAACAGAGAAAAATATATAGTCATTGGCACTATGTATCCTGTTCATTTCCCAAAAAGATGCCCCAGGGAAGAAAAGGGCTTCATGTAAGAAAGTGGATTAGAACTGAGATAATTTACTGCCCTAATAAGATCAACATTTATATGTAAGGATAAGTAAATATTGACTAGGTAAACATAGCCTGATAAGCAGATCAATCTGTTTCTCTTAGGGATACATAGGAATTAACAAGCTTAATAACATTCAGTATTTCAGACTCAGAGACTAAAATGTTCTGGTGTACCCTGAAGGAGTAAAAGGCCATGTATATGACCTCCTCCCCTCCTTTCCCATTAAATAATTCAACTACACACAAAAATAAAATCCATCCCAACAACTAAAAAAGAAGGATATCTATTGTTCCTGGAGAATGCAGATACCCTGTGCAACAAAAACTGTCATGGGTGTTCATTTCATGGTCTTATAAACATTTACCCATCAATCAATGTCATCCACAAAGCACTGTTCAGAGGATCAATTGATTACCAGCTTTCTCTGCTATTAAATAGAAGATGCAACAGACAAGGGGAGTTTTGATTCTGTATGAGTGGGCTTTTACAATCCAAATGTTCCTTTTAAAGCATGCATTTAAATGAGATAGATGTTAGAGGACATTGGAAGTATATTGGGGGGCACATTTCCATGTGCATATAGAAAGAGAAGGTGAAAACCTATACTGCAGTCTGTACTCCCTGGTCTCATAGCAAAGTTCTCATCATCTTAGAACAAATATGTTCTCTTCATCTCCTTCGGTGCAGGACTCCCTGTGAGCAAAGTAAGGTAGGGTGGGGGAGAAGGATAATGATTTTTTTAGAATTTGGTTTTCTAGTATAAATCCCTGGATTTTGTGGCTTCTGAAATTGTTTGAGGAGTAGCATGGAATTGTGGAGGTGCTGTTCCTAAAGAAGCATTTGGGTAGCTCTCAAAAGTGAATCCAGCTGGCTGACCAGACAGATGCTCCATCCAAAGAATAGACAGTCATTTTGTCAAAGCATGGAAATGTTTGTGGCTAAGAAAATGGTACACTTCATTACTTTCTCTCTCTCCCTTATCAATGGAAACAAAGTGACCAGGGAAATCTTGGTTGCTTCAACTTAGGAACCAGTGAGGGTGTAGGATGGTGTTATAAGTTGTTATGAAACACTGAACAAAGGGTAAAAACTTATTAAAATATGCTCGAAGAGTGACAACAGCTGTGAAACAGACCCACCAGCCTTTGCTATTTACCCCAAATGTTACCCTACTACTTAAGAATTTGTCATGAAATAGCTGGGACTTATGATCTCCACTGGTAAACCCATTTCATGGTGACCAGTTCTCTGTCTCTTGACTAGTCTTACAGGCACTCCTATCTTCTGTGGAGGCATTTCACTAGGCATCTTAAAGCTTCAACATCTGTTCTAAACTTCTGTGGTCAGTGAAAGCCAAGGGCATCCCTAGAAGACAAATCCATGTAAAGGTGACCGTGCTGGCTGGGATACGGGAGGCACTATTGACTACTGGTACATACCGAGAGGGCACATATGTGCTTGTAGATTGCCAGTCCTGGGTGAGGCGCTGGAAAAGTGATATCCTGGAAACACACCTCATCATCTGAGTGTGAGAAGATGGGGCAGCTGCAGCCTGACACGTTGCTGCTGGAACCCTTTGCCCGGGCAGCCGGGGCGGTCTGAGGGATCCTGGCGTGAGGCCACTCCTCCAACACCCGCCGAGCGGTGGAGCCTGATGGGAAGGCTGTGTGCGAGGGGAGGGGGGGAGACAGGAGGAGGTGGCTTCCTCCTGACGCCATTTCCGAGGGGCTGAGATATATAAATGAGCCGGTTGCTGCAGTGCCCCGTCTGGGATCACCAGCCAGAGCACTGGCGTAGACTCGCACGGTGCTGGTCTCCCCCCAGCACCTCGCCCGGAGGCCGCACGCCGGCGACAGACTCAGCCCCTTTCTCCCTCCCTCCGTCCTGCCAGCACCATGAGCCGCCCAGGACTGCTCGCCGTCCTGCTCCTGGCCGTGCCGGGTAAGTGGGGCTGGGCTGGGGTCCGTGTGCCCCCCGCTCCCGGGACCCGCAGCCCTGCGGCCGGCGCTGCCCCCGCCCAGAGCCGTTCCGGAGGGGCAGAGACCGCCCGAGCCTTCAGCACCGCGGACAGCGGCCGCCGCAAGGTCACTGCCGAGGGCCTGTCTCTTA